TTGAGCTGAGCAACAGTCCAGACCCGAAGGTACCAGCAGCCTGGAGGCCGGCCCAGCGCTATATCAGCCGGGTACCAGCCTCAGTAGGCAGGTTAGTCTAGGACAGCGTTTCGGCGTTAGAATAGCGGAGCAGCGAGGAGGATTAGCGCCAGCTCTCTGGCTTAGCCCGCAGCCCAGCGCCCAGCACTGCAGCGCCAAAGCTGCATCGCCAGGCTCAGCCTCAGCGGACATCGGCAGAGACTGTGCGGTCACTCAGGTATCAGGGAGAAAGGCTTCGCCTTTCTTCCCTCTTCCTCTTCTCCTCCCCTCTGCCTCCTCCCTCTTTCTCCTCCTGCCCTCTAAGTCTAAGTCTACTTCTTGGGTTACTCCTACTGGACTACTACGAGCGTGAAGGATGGTTACGAGTTCTGATGATATCGGAGATAACAACATTGAGACTTTCGGTTGAGGACTACTTTTGGGATCTGACTTCATCTACCTCTGGAGTTGTATCTTGGCATTGGGAGATCGATATCTGGGACACTGTGAGGCTCTGTGTTCGCGACATTTCGGATTCTCGCTACTTATGACATTTCGAGATACTATTTTTGGAGACATTGCGTTGACGTCATCTTCCCTCTCCTCCTCCCTTCGTCTCTCCTCCCCTCCACTCGTTGCAGTCTGAGTCAGGTTTGAGTCAGTCCATGTGTATCAAGTCTTCCGCTGTAATTGTATTTGCTCTGTGTTATCTGGTCGGTTCTGGGATCTGCGTCATACTTATGTCTGTGTTCACGAGTATGCAACACATGCTCTTCATGTCGGTGTTTTTAGGAATAGAGAAAACTTTGCTGATGACTACTAATAATACTTCTTTTCAAAATCTGTCGCTGTGTCTCCAAGCTCGTTGTCCATCGATGAACTTTTTATGCTGGCGTAAGGCGCGCCAACTTTTCATCAAGCTGTTGATCGAGGTCCTTGACATATGCTGATGCTGGTTGAGTCAATGCGCGTATAGACCGATGCGGTCAGTCGCAGATGTGCTATTGTGGAAAGAACTTGCCTGAGTAAGTCCCGTAGGAAGCTGTTGTAATGCCAAGCGTGGCGCCGCGGAACGCGTGGAGCACAGCAGATGCCGATCCTTTCTGACCGCAGAGTTAGAACCTGTGGTGTGTAATGCCATGCTGCTACTATTCGGAGAATTTCGGACAGTAGTGCGCACTAGCAGTGGGTGTCAACCTGGGGTAATCAGATTTACCCGCCCGGGATCATGGGAGTTACTGTCTGTCATTAGGTTCCGACCTGCGGTCATCGAAATTAGGGCGACCATCTGCTCTTTCTACCCTTTTTTGTCTGTTTGGTACCTCCGTGGTCGTGACCGGGGCTCATCAGATTCAACAGGGGTTCATCAGATTCAACCGGGGTTTGGACCTGAGGTCATCAGATTCACTGCTGGCAGGTTCCCACCCGCTGGGGATCATCGGAGTTGCTGTCGGTTATTGGGTTCCAACCTGCGGTCATCGAAGTTAGGGCGATCATCTGCTGTTTCTACCTTTTTTTGATCTGTTTGGTACCTCCGTGGTCGCAACCGGGGCTCATCAGATTCAACCGGGGTCTGAACCTGGGGTCATCAGATTCACTGTTGGCAGCTCAACCCGCCCGGGATCAATGGGGTTACTGTCTGTTATTGGGTTCCAACCTGCGGTCATTGGAATCAGGGCGACCATTGGGTCTTTCTACCCTTTCTTGTCTGTTGGGTGCTTCTGTGGTTTCCTGTTTTTTTGTGCACAGTCTTAATCTTCTTACAGGCTTGACGCAGGTGATACATAACAACTTTTTCACAGATCTCTATGCTTTGATAGGAATTGGAAGTTTTGAAACGGGGCGGTATACTACCATGGTGAAGTTACCTCCTAGGCTACCGGCTGGGCCGCTTGGGTGAGCTTGTCTGCCCGGGCGGCCTGGCCGTGCAAGGGCCAAAGAGGGTCCCAGCACCCAAAAAAGAAAAGAAAAAAAAATCGAAAATTTCTGAAAGAAAACTATGTTATGCAGAAAAAAATAAACTGAACAACTTGTGCCTGAGGGTCACATCGAAATTCCTTACCAATTTTAAAATTTTTAATAAAAATTGAAGTAGAAAAATAAAGAAAATTATTTTCTTTATGTTAATATTTTCTTTATTTTTATTTTATTTTGGCCCGGCCAGGCGAGTGGTCCGGGGCCGCTCTGGTAGCCTAGGGTACCTTCCATTTCTTTGTATTTGGATAGGTTTTGTGTTGGCTTCTTTTGTAGGTTTCCAAAGTTGAATCCGTCAGCTTTGAAAACACAAACTGCATTGGAATTAATCGCTGCAGTAAAAAAGCCATCGACTAATCGCCGGAGTAAAAACTGTAAAAGCCATTGACTAACCGCGCACTAAGAAGTCCTAATGAGTGGACACCAAGTCTCTCTCATGGTTCAAAAGTCCGGACCCCGGACCCTGGACCTATCAATTTCTTTTGCAAAGAAGAGGGAGGCTTCCACACTAATACTACGCGCGCGGGATAGAGTGATGGGGAACTTGTTCTTGTTTGAAGAAATAATCGAAACAGTGGAAACGCATCAAAATGATGCTGGCAGTAACAAAAAGTTGAAAGGAATTTACAAAAATAGGTCAAATTATCTACTACAATTAGATTATTGTAAAACAGGTTAGCAGTGGTGAGCTTTTTTGTTAAGTTCTGGAAGCTTTCATTGCTGTGTCTTGCATGCGAGATCGTCGACTTTTTTTCATGTGTTCTTTGGAAGCGTTTTAATCCCTGTGTGTCCCTGTGTGTCCCTGTGTGTATTATCATAGGGGTATGAATGAGGTGTTAGACGGAGAAACATACGAGTAGCATATACCAACCTTTTTTAATTTGCTTGGATGTTCCTTAGAGCCTAATCTGCGTTCACTCGCCACTACTAACGGAGTGTTGGTTGATGTGCTTTCCTTTAGCTACTCAGATGTTGGGATCGAAAATCCATATATGATGAGTCGGTGAAACTCCGACGAAACAGTTTGTCACAGCCCCTCGTTTGTTGTCCTCTTCTCCCTCTCTGCCTACGGTTTACCGGGCAGTTCTTTTTGACGATATATATAATATATATCGTCACGAACATAACTGCACGGTAAACAGTAGGCAGAGAGAGAGAAGAGGACAACAAACGAGGGGCTGTGACAAACTGTTTCGTCGGAGTTTCACCGACTCATCAGGAGGCTGAACCCTCAGCAGTCTGCAGAATCCCCTCACTGATTACACTGTAAATGATAATCTACCTTAACCAAAATCAAAGTAGACTATCACTCACCCACACCAGATGGAAAACTCTACAGACTGTCGGTTCACACCCCATCACAAGCCAGCAAAACATCCACGAATAAAGAAAGCGTACCCGTAGGGCACTCGTGCGTTTTGCGCATGAAGGACGAGGCTTGAACATCGATGTCTGCTTCAGGCCGGGATTGCGTAAGCTGCCAGATACATGGAGATTACCGAGGGGCGGCTGTATGGTACATAAAAAAAAAAAAAAAAAAAGAAGCCGGAAGGAACAAATGCTTTGACTCGGTAGTGTAAAACAATACCATGAGGGAAAGGTGAAAGAACCCTAAGGAATGGAGTTAAATCGAAAACCTGGAAGGCTGAAACCCGATGCAATCAAACAGTCGAAGGGTGGAAGAACTGACCTACTTAAATGCTAGTGACTGGAGCCATTATAAAGATGTATATAAATTAGCACTACTTGGTAGAAAAGACCTCTTTTTGCCATCAATCCATCGATGATGGATCTGTTTTCAAAGGTTAACGGTGTACCTTGTGCATCATGTGTCCGCAAGGAAATTGATAGAGTCCTAAAGGAGCCCCCCACAGCCGATTGGGTGGGGCATTTGGCAGCCACCTACCTTCTTCCCCCGAATACGACGTATGGTCATCATAGCTGTGTATTTAGACTGAAAGATACCCCAAATTCAGCTATAATGACCGTGCATTCTATTCGGGGGAGACTGTAGGATTGTGGAGGTGGTACATGAACCTGCACTATTGGGTCAGAAATCCAATGCAAAATTTAGTTCGCGAAATTTCGGGCGCGACCAGTCCTTAGAGTCCTTACCATATCAGACTGCCCTGGGGGACTGATCCTTATAGCAGCTGAAAGACGGTGAACAAACTCAGGCCGTACTCACACTAGCACCATCGTAAATCTACCTGACCGCATTTACGGCCAGACGTGGATGTATCTGGCCGCAACTCCGTCCAAAAACAAGTAAAAAAAAGTTTCTAGTGTGAGTATGCCCTAAGTGTGGCAAGCTGGTGTTCACTGGACTGCCAGTGATTGATCAACCCCAGGAGGACAAATTAATGAAGGAGACCTTGTTGTTTTTCGTGCCTGCCTCATTGTTTCCAGTCGGCTTTTTCATGTCAGCAACTTCTGTCATGCCCTCATTCCATTAGGTACGTGCAGCCGCTCGTTTCCTTGTGCCTCGTCTTTGTATTCCTTCTTTTCTCCTTCATTTTTCCTTTTGCTATCCTCTTCATCCTCTGTCTTGCTATCCTCTTCATCCTCTGTCTTTACTCAGCTGCCTTGGCTTAAAAGGTTCCTTCTTATCTCTCCCC